TGAGAATTTTATTACTTGACAAAATATTATTTGCTATTTCATAGTACTGGCTAATTAATTGAAACTGCCAGGCTTAACAAAGGCCAGTGTGTTAAAAGCAATTTTTTCTGTCTTCACAAACTGCTGTGTCATAGTTATGCTCATCTCAATGAGTTTAGACCTCACAGAACTACAGTCAGTAATTGTGTAGAAAATTACACTGCATTGAAAGGTCTGAAAATCACAAAAGCACAAATGCAAATTAGTTATGCAAAGTCCATGGTTTGTGGTTTAAATGAGAAAGTTAGAAGGATTTTAGGGAGGGGCAAGCAATTTCAGAAGTGCTCTTCCAGAACATAACAGGAAACATGATGAAACTGCCACCCTTCTCTCATCTGGTTCCAGAGCTGACATGGACATTCCACAATTTATAGCACCATTTTCTTATCATCCCACCTAGAGTAATTTCCCAAATTTTAATCCTAATCATGTTCCTTTTAAAGGCAGAAAGAAAGGAGTTATCGTATCAGACTACCCAGCAGTATCCTCTTTCTCCTTCCAGCATTCACAGAACTCTAACCAAGAAATGACAGCCGGCTTTTATTTCTTTTGTGCTGCCTTAGTCCAGTGATTTCCAAACTGTGCCCTGTGGGATCTCATCCAGCTGATATTTCCACCTCAGATGCATCTGCAGAGGGCTTTGACCTCAGACCTTGGCAAACCACGTACTGAGGGGGCACCTGGCCAGGTCACGGTGGGGACTGTGGGTTCTTGGGAGCTGGCATGCTAACAGAACTACCCTGCATTTGGTCAAGCTTCCGCTTCTTGTTCTCAGTTGGTTCAGGGCTCTGTTCAAATAAGGTCATGTTGCAAGTTCACGTTTATGATTGCACCTTTGCACCTCTGCCCCCACACCTGGCTGTGTTTGCCCTGCCCATGGGTCTTTGGTCACAGTCTCTGTAACCTGTGGTCTCCACCTTTGTCATTTTCATTATTAAAGTTTTCATTTTAAGGGCTAGACCGTCATTCCCATTCCTTATTTTGCCAGTTCCACCCAAGCCAAGCAGGGGGATCAAAGTGAACTCTAAACTGCAATAGTGCCCTACAGATCCAAGGAAGTGTACAGACTGCCTTGATTAGTGAAAAAATACCTCATAAAAAACAAGCAAATATATATTTCTGAAAAGCACATCTGAATGTCATTTCGATGGAAAAACACATCTTCATCAGAAAAAATTCAGGGATCAATGATCAGTGAGTGAACAAATACCGTAATCTGGCATTTCCTATCAGTAAACTCATTATCCACTGCAGAAACACAGCCTGCTTGACAGCCCTGTGTTGTGTCCTTTTTCACTGATCCAGAAACACATGTCATGGGAAACAGTTGTTTGATCAAAATTAACAGTTAGTTGCTAGCAAAGACAGGAAGAGAACCAGTCGGCTCACTGCAAATTGTCTCCTCTTGTTTTAAAAACAAAATTATTTTTCCCCCTTCCCAAGAATTTCTACTTGAATAAAAGACAGAGATCCCTACTGTAAAATCACAGTGTTTCACAGAGACAGAATGCAGTCCTTCATTTCTTCACAAACCCCCTGTTCTAGTGGAGTGCTTTCCTTCCAGCAGGATTTCATCTGCACCAATTTAAATTTTCAGACTTCTAGACATAAGGGGAAATAAGCTTCCAGCATGACTCAATTATAGGAAGTTTGTTTTTCTTTGTCTCGTTAGGCTTCCTTCTGCCTGTTCAATATTTAGTTCACTTAGCTTTAATATGAGTATTTTCATTTAAAGAAATAAAATCTCCAAAAATTTTGGATAAGCCCCCTGGTTTATGTAACCCAGTTTAGATTAGACACTCAGTTAAATTTGAGACACATAAAAGACTTTCACTGTGCCTGCACAAAGAGCTGGTTTTATACACAGGGAATCAAGTTCTGGTTCTGTTGGCATCTGTGTGGTTTTGTACTGATACCAGCACAGATGCAGCAGACAACAAGATGTCATATTGTTTGGCTGTGTGTTTTGCTAGGTGTCTAAATAAGTCTTCATTCACAAACCCCTTTACCTCAGAATAAGAATAAATTTGTTAATGCAATCTTTATACTGATAGCCACCTACAAAAAAACAAGGACAGCACTGCACACACTGCCTGCAGTGCAATTTCCATGTTACAAGAGGGAAATCCTCAATCTTTACAGACCAGGACCACAGTGCACTGCCCCTGAGCTGGAGGAGGTGAGGAAAGTACCAGAAATCAAGCTTATTAAAAACTTCTCCTCATTTTTGCATTTTGAACCAGCTCTGCCACTTTTCATAACTGCTTCTCCTCATAATTCTCTCTCTGTGCACAGAAGGCATTCCTACATTGCTTGGCATCACAGTATATAAACTGCTGTGGCTGAGATATGCCCACAAGGAAACTGGGTAAGAGTTCTTACCTTTTCTTTTTTCCCAAAGAAAACAACTCCATGACATAAAGGGAAGCTATTTCTCCCTGTAACCTTGCTGCCTGCTTAGGTCTCATACCATAAGCAAAATGGAGAAGTTTGATTATTGGTGAGTAATCAAACCTACAGGCTGTAGGTCTAACACACTCTCTGAAGAGTTTTGAGACTCAGCATCTGTTTTTCAGTGGTTGATTTTCTACACTTTGTTCAACACACAATCAGTGAAACCGTGTAACCAGCAATATTTGGTACTGTTTCATTCCGATCTAAATTACACACCAGGTGTAGTGCACTGGAAAAACAGGCATTTGGAGCAGGTTAATGTTGAAGTGATGTGCCAAAATAATACTGGAGAGCATTATACAGCTAGTCCTGTCTTTTTCCAGAAGAAATCTGAAGCTAGGTTTCTAATCATAAAACTGTTAAGAAAACATGGCATCTTTCAGTAAGTACAGAAAAGAACATTTTGCAGTAATGGTACCAAAAAATCTTTAGTCTTATTTATACTGGGACAGGCTGATCTTAAAGTAATTAATATAAATCAGGAGTAGCAACATGGAATTATTCTGGATTTTCACTGGAATAAATGAGATCACAATCTGGCCTAAACTACTAATGGGAAATATAACCCTGACCACATATGAATGCAGTTACACCACAGAGTCCTTCATTACACTTTATGGACACTGACTTCACAGTAAACTGGCTGGCACCCAGGTGGAGTGAAATTTGGCCCATTAAACTTTGCCATAAATATATTCCTTACACAGCAAATGTTATTGGACACAAAGTAGAGATGGAAAGATTATAAGAAAACCACACCATCCCCTGCTCAATGCAAGGTTGTTCCCTGTGCTCCATGTTTCAAAGTCTTTGTTCATTTTGTGTTTTAATGATTCAAGTGAAAGAGCTTCCACCACTGACCTGGAAAAGCTGTGTTACAATCCAACCAGAACTCTCTCCTGAACTCAAAGGCATAATGTAATAGTTTTATCACTTTGTGTTTCAAAAATAAAGCCTGCAATAAGAAAAATGTTTCTATTAACAGGAAAGAGCCATGTATTACTGTTCAACAGCAATATATTGGGAAGAATACAATCTCCTGACTTCCAGATATCTCCCAAGAGGTGACAGTGAGTGGGTTTTGTTGGTTCCAGCTGACAGCCTAAGACTGTCAGCCTCTCTTTTTCATTCAGATGTATTTACTTGCTGATACTTGCATTATCAGGCAAGGCATCATCATGGTAACTCAAAATTCTGTTCAGTATTCAAAAACCACTGGAGTATATCATCAGTATGTAGAACATATAGAGCATATTGAAATGTCCATTACCCTCAGCTGGGAAATGAATGGTTTCTGATCATTCTCTAACTGAAAGAGAACAGTGGCCCTTGATGAGGCAGGTGAGGTTCAAAGGCAAGCCACCAAAATATCAGACAACCTGAAAAAATACTATACAAGAGCAGGAGAAATTATTGCTTGAAGAACAAAGTGGCATAAACTATCAAAATCAAGCCCCTAAATGGATTTAAAAAGTAATGAAAGGCTAATTAGATGGCCTGCAGTAACAATAGACAGTGCTTCCTCTCACTCTGAGCAGTTAAAATTTACTGCTAAGACTCAGCAAAGCTCAAAAAAAAGTAGACAAAAGAAAAATGTTTCATGGACAGGCAAGAGAAAGAATATGCCACTTTCTTTTTTAAAAAGGTGGAATTGGCCCATGTAGAAACCAGAGGACAGACAAGGTGGTGCAAGGCAGTGCAATTCGTGTACACCTGTATCATTTTGTGTTTCTCTTCTCAGAACTGAGCCTATCATCCACAATTAAAGTGTGCAGATTCTATCTATCAGTAACTAATTGTATCTCAAATACCCTAACTGCTTCCTTTGGTATATCCAAAACCTGAAAACCACAGGCTGAACTCTACTCCCATTAGATCTGTATGCCTACTAAAGTCACACAGGTCTTAGAATGTTTGACAACAGCTCACATTTTGAAACAGACCCACATTGATTTCACTGTGTAAAAGACATTTCAAAAGCAGCAGAGCCTGGAACAGAACTTGGATATTCTGCTTTACAAGTTCCATCCTCTTTGGCAGTCTGCCAGTCAGTTGTTGACAATCATAGATTTCAAACATTCAGGTCCCTTTGAAAGCCAAGGAGATGGTAAGATGTCAGTTTTTAACTTACAAAATTGGTGAAAGCTGATTCAGCTAACATAAAGGAGTAAGAGTCCACCAAAGCTGCTAGAAATAGTAACTTAGCTTCTTTTGACATATAAGCTCTGATTTTTCTAATGCTTAAAGCTTCCTCATTCAATGATGTGGTTGTTATTTCTGTATTTATGTTTTACTGCACAGACACCAGCAAAACAAATATAAGCAAAGACAACTCTGTTTGCAAATCTATAACTTTGCCCCTACTCTGCAAATTAACACTGCATGTGGATTCTTTTCACTATTTTATTTCCTCAAAAATAGGTTGACAAGGGCTAGGTTGAGTTTTCAAAACTTAAAACCCACGCAGACTCTTGTAAACATTTAATATTTTTTCGCAAAGCATCTATTATAAATTATTGTAAACAGTGATTTCCTGAAAGAAATTAATGTAAACTCAAAAAGAAATGGATTTAAGTGAACTATCATTCCCTTCTTCATCCAACCTGCGGGGTCCCTTGGTGACATCTGCCTGCACAGCTCTAATTATGAGAAGTCATGTGCCGGGATAAATGATGGCGTTCTCGGAAGTACTCGTGGCAAATGGGACACGTCAGCTTCTCCTCCCGCCTCCTCTTGCACTGGGATTCACTTGAGGAGTATTCTTTCTTGTGATGTGACCGCATGTGGAAGACTAAATCAGATGTCATGCGAAAGGACAGGTTGCATTTGGCACACCAGTTCTGGGCAGCCACTCCAAAGGAGGTGAAGGTGGGGGGAAGAAGAGTCAAGGAAGAAGAAGAAGAGGAGGACGAGGAGGAAGTGGTGGTGGTGTTTTGTAGTTGTCCTCCTGCTTGCTTGAGCCATGGTTCTGAGGTATATGGGAAAACACTGCTCCGAGTGATGCTTGTCTGCAGCATCTGAGCATTACACAAATCACTGACAAAGAACTTGGAATTGAGAAGACTGCTGCAGCACATGATGTCTGCGGTGGCAATGAAGCCAGACAGCTCCCCCAGGCTCTTTGTTGACTCACTCATGGGATGAGAGGAATTTACTGCAGCTCTTTCTGTTATGCACTTACTGGGCTTGCTGAAAGCACTCTTCTGTTCTCCTCGAGCGCTGGTGGGCCAAACAAAGGAGAAAGCACTACCAGAGGAGTTCAGCAACACTTCCTTTGACACCTGCTCCTTACCAAGTGGGGCCATGCCATCCTCCTGCTCTGGCTCCTGCAGTCTCTCATTCCTCAGCTTCTCTTTCATCCTCCTGACCTCAGTGAAAGCACTCTGCTTTTGCTCTAAAGCATCCTTCCTAGCTGACTGCCTCCCTGAACTAAGCTTCCTGAAAGAACCATCCAATGCATTCTCTCCCCCAACCTCTTCCTTGCCCCCACAGTTACGCTCCTCAGTCAAGTTATTGGTTTTCTCCAACAGCACTGTTTTCCTGCTCCTGTTGCTCTCAGCCTCTTCAGATTTCGCTCTCCTTTCTCCAATAACACCATGTGCATCATCTTTACAAGCTGCCATTTTAACTTCCAGGTCCCTTGCCAGACTGTGGAAATTCGTGGTCTGCTCAGCTAGGCTGCCCTTTTCAGTTTTAGGGTTCTGGAAGTTTCTCCATAGCAGAGCACTCTTCTCTGGCACACAGAGGAAGCGGACATGGGACAGATAGGAATGCTCACATTTAAAGACTCGGTCGCACTCTTGGCATCTCAACTCTGCAGAAACAGAAAACAAGTGATGAGTTTTGCAAAGGTGGAATCGTGGGTGGATGCAGATCCTGATCCTGTTATTGACACAAAAAGCCAGGAGGAACACCTCATGTCTTACAAGGTTACCCATGGTAAAACTAATGCCAGGGCAGGATCAGGTCCCTTCCTGCTATGCAAAATGGTTCATTCTTATTTGCTTCCATGCTTCCGTGCTACTGGCAGAAATATTCCATTTAGACTCTCAAACCTAAATGTTATTACATAAAATGTAATTATATTACATAAAAGTACAAAAAATGGCCAGTACACCATGATCTAGATAAAACCATTTAGATTTTATAATGATTTGAAGTCTAAACCCAGATTTGGGTCTACATTTCTTAACTAAGTCATTGGCTTTCATTCAGGATGAATGTTAAACACTATGTATCCAAGCAATAATGAGTTTTAGACCAGGATTCGAAGATTTTTACATGACTCTATTTTTAGGATGCTCTGGTAGTTTAATACTGTTCAAAAGCCATCTGACCTTAATGCCTGAAGCCCTTACTCATGCTCATTTGGCAAGCTGTTACATGCCTTAAGGCACAAATGTCTATGGCACAGAAAATGATGTTCAAATTGAAACAATGTCAGTGATAGGCAGGAGGAATAAGGAACACTCTTTCCTTGTGGTCTTCAGACCCACTGCACCTCTGGTTCATTGGGATGATTGACTGCCCAGATGGTACAAAATTCAGCAATCACACAAATATGGTACATCTTAACCCTTGTAAATTATATCCATGTTACATTATTTCACAACACAGAAGTTTTACAGTGCAAGTGATGCCAGACAGCACCTGAGGCCTGGGATAGGAAACCATAGAAAACTTCATAAATTGGTTGGGTGGATTGAAAAATTCCTAATTTGGGACTCAGCACAGCTTACATCACTTCACAAACTACAGAAGCTGAACTTTTTATAAGAAAATAAGGCTGCCGAAATGGGTGGAACATTAAACCTATGAGTTTAAAGTCTTGAGTCTAGATATAGAGTTTGTTGTGCAAGTAACACTCTTCCCTGGTAAATCCAAAGGGCTGGCAGTGTGTGTCCACACAGAAATTAACAGAATACACTGAAACCAGCTGGAATGATTTAGTCAGTTCCTCCTATGAATGTGTCTGAATTACTTTAATACTAATTTACACACAAGCACATTACCATATGAATTTGCTAACACATATCTTTACCAACCTATACCTTTACTAACCAATCTATATAAACTTTGTTTAAATCAACTAAAGGGAATGTAGAAAGGGTTTTGTTCCAGTCTAACTAGGTAAAATTTGGAAAAAATAACAGCTGGAATCAGACTTGGTATGGACCTGACTAACTTGCTTGGTGTCTCTGTAATCTGGATTTTTAGTTTTGTAACAAATTCTAGGTCAACTTCTTTTGGAGCAATGAATTTTCAGCAACATGTCAGAAATTGAAGCTTGCTCTTTTCCTCATTTCCACTGTGTCCAACATTAAATAGGCAGACTGTGCTGCATGCAATACTGTTAGGTTTGTTATGTATTTTTAAAGATCTGCTCATTTGCAAGATTAAAGCTGAACACTAGTCTACACCTGATTTGTCAGTGAGCTAAAAAAGGCCAATTTCCAACTGATACTTTAGATTTTTTAGGATTCTAAGCTATTGAAGTGCAAAGATTTCCACTGCATAGCTCAAGAATTTCAGCATGAATCCCTAGTGCACCATCCTCTGCTAGAAAGTACCAATGAGAATGGCATTAAGAACTGCAAATAGTTTCTTGCTCTGTGCCTCCAGCTCAAACCTCAAAGCAGAAGGTCTTTTCTCTTAGCAGACCAGCTAAGGATTTGCACATGTTTTGTGTTATTACAAGACAACCACATACTAAAGAAGATGCAGACTCCCTTCTGTCCTCAGTGACCCCTGCAATCAGCAATTCAGTACTTACCATTCTGGGGCCTCTGAGCTTTTATCTCATTGAAACCCAAGAGGCTGGAAAGCTCCTCATCATACCAGACAAGCAGCTCCTCATTTTTGCTGATTTTCCTGGTGGAGCGATAGTATAACTGACTGTTTTCCAAGTAAGCTTCCAAGTTCTGCTCCTTGCTATGGGCAGCTGCTTGTACAAGTCTCATCCAAGGCAGGCCTGTGGGACTGTGCACAGATGTGACATCCACCTGTGAGATGGGACACAAAGAAGGGAAGTCAAGGTCTCGAGGCCCAAAGCAAGAGTTCATCCAATCCAAGAACAAAGCCTGGTTTCTGCCTTGCACTGAGCACACATGACAAAGCTGTGAGCCCAAAACATCTGCCAGTGTCACCAAATCCAAAGGCATCCCAGGGAGAAGGCTTCCCCAGTGTGGGGGCTGAGAGCTCTGGGAATGCAGCTGTGTGGGAAGGAGGAGGGGACACAGTGTTCATGTGTAACCCCCCATGGCAAAGCCTTGGTTTGTCAGTCCCTGTCCTGTGCACACCATCCCATGGGACTGTGCCAGGCGTGGATCACAGAGGTACAGGAGGTGGGATCCTCTCTAAGAAGGGGTCTCAATCCTTGGCATATGAAAATGGGAGGTGAGTCAGGAGATGTGCCAGTGCTGTGACTTGGGGACTGAGAGATGTGCAGATCAGTGCAGTGTGAAACTGGGAATGAACATACACTCAGGACAGTTACATGTGGAGTTTTTCACTGACATAAGAGGATATGGATCAGTGGGGGCAAGAAAAGTCATGGTTATTTGATTCAATACCCAAAGTAAACATCTGCATATATGTTTGGCTAGATTACATAAAATACAGATTTTAATATATGCAACTAAGAAGCACTTATATGATCTCTTTCCTTTTTTTCAGAAATAAAATTATATTTTACCTTTGCTAGATTAATTAAATTAATTTCAAGGTATCTAAACAGATAAACCTCATCACATCAATATTTTTTGTTAAATAATTTCTGAGAGCTGCAAGGGGTTGATTTGCTTTCAATTTGTGGGCATGCACATATACCAAACAAATTAAGTTTAAAAACATTTCTCAGGTCAGGCACGAAAAAGTTAAAAAAATAATATTAAGTCTATTGCCCAAATTAAATTTCTGTTCTGTGTGTATATTACAGCATAGTCCTAAATCACATATAATTTTTACTCCACAGGACTCCTGAGTCATTTAGTCACAGGTTGACAAGTAAATAATGTAAGTACAAAACATTTGGTATTGTCTTCCTCACGCAGTGTGTGACTCCAGTCTTACTTACTTTAGTACATTAAATAAGGAATAATTTATTTCTTTATAGATTTTTCCTTGGTGTTTACCACAGCAGGTCTGTGCCCTCTGCAACATTTGAAAGGGAAAATTTTCATAGCTTGAAGGTTAAAACACAGGGTGATCAAAGGCAACATTTATATGCATAAGAACTAATTTTTGACGCACTAAGTCATTGTTTAGAAAGGAAGAAGTTTGCAAATGAAAAATGTCTAATGACAAGTATGATCTAAATTTCACCCCAAGCAATGTATAGCTCTTTGTTTTCCACTAATTGCAGGGCAGCCATTCTTTGGTGTTTGGTACCAGAAACAATATTTTGGCTAACTATTTCTCTGGTTTTAACTGACTATTACCTACAGTGAAAAGTTTGATCACAATAGTAGCTTGGATACAAGAATGAAACATTAAAAAACCATTAGGATGAGAGTTACTTAGCATTAGAGAGAAAATAAATTAGCATGCCCTGAAACTGGTTCTCTCTAAATGCCAAGGCAATGAACAATGATTGAGAAATACAAGTGCCTGACAGCAACCCAGGAACACCCACCCACACACAGAGGCTGTAACTAACAGCTATGACAGAGGCTGTCATATTTTAGTTGCTGTGTTTCAGAAATTCCGAGCAGCCACCCGGTGCTCTAAGCAAAGTCAAAGGGAGCACAGCTCCACCAGGACTCCAGGGAAAGAGCTCAGTCAGCTTCAAGCAGGTGTGGAGGAGTACCAGATGTAATATAAGATCTGGGTTCTGCCGACTAGAATAATGAACTAGCTTTAGTTTTTCCATGTGTCTAGAGACACTATAAACCCAGCAAATCCACCCTCTCCTGGAGGTGTCAATCGCCCAGAGGGACCCTTTGTACACAGATATGAGGTAAGGCCTTCACAGCCCAGCATCTCAGTCAGAGCTGGGCGGTGGAGGAATGTGGCTCCCTTGGGAGACGCTGGAAAAGAAGAGAGGCAGTAAATCTCTTCCTTGAAACCCCCAAGAAGCTGTAAGGGGCAGAGGAATCAGTGAAAAGAGCCACCTGTGCCAATGGCTGCCAAGGCATCTTCTTTGCCCAAGTATACAAACTGGGCCAAGGAGATCAAATTAAGGTCTCGAAGAAAATGAGGGAAAAAAGATTATGAAGTTCTCCTTTGGTCTAAACAAAAAAGCCCAAGATGATTAAACCCTTGTTAGCAATAACATTCCCCAAAGTCTTGCTGGAGTGCTGATGAACAATAATGAACAGAAACCTCAGTTGCAACGAATCCACCTTGCCAATTCATTTTCATGTGTGTTCTGTTTGTACTACACCCAGCAGAGCAAAACTCATTTTTTGTTTTGCACTTCAGTGCCATGATGACAACATAGCATCATTATTGAATTTTTAATTAATTACTTCAAACAGTTAGGAGCCTAATGGTAGTTCCTGATTTCTGGGAGGTTTACTTTTAATTATGAGTAGTTAACAGGATATGGGACTACCAATTGCATCTGAAACAGCTACTTGCACAGAATTTCATGTATTTACTGCCAAAAGACAGAGATCTGAGCCAACTCAGGCATCCAATTTCATTGCTGCATAGCAATTACTTAGCTCAAGTGTAGAAAAACACTAAAGCCATCCCTCTAGAGGGCTCTTCCAATGTAGAAAACCTTTGAGGCTCTCTCTACAGTAATTCAAAACTCCCAGGAGAAATACAGAAATATTCCAAAAATAAAGCCTTTTTTCAGGGCAGGTCTGTCTCCAAAGAGTTTGTTGGTCTCCTGGAGTACTAATAACACTGTCCAAGAAAGCAAACTTGTGCCAGAGACTCAAAACAGTCAGATAAACCCTGAAGCCTCTTCTTCTCCCTCTTAATTTGCTTAAAGCAGAAGTGTAGAACAGGTTATCTCCCAACAACTGTATCTTCCATATTACACATATGCCTTGGGATTTTCTCCAGAGCACAGAAATCTTAGGCAAACCTGGATCTCTCCCAGACCCATCCATGCCATAGAATATGGGAAATTGGCTTTCCTCGCACTGTAAAATACCTCCCTGTCTTCATCTAGACCAACAGTGACTGAAAGGAACTCCAAGACCCAGAAAGCCGGGGTAAGTGGTCAGCATGATAAACAGTGGTTATGAAACAAAAAAAAAAAAAAAAAAGTGGAGAACCAGAGGTTGAGAGCTAACAATCCATTACAAGCCTTCCCTACAGTGATTGAAAAGTGTAGCTGTAACACAGACATACAGATCTAAGGTGACTTTAGGAAGTCCATGTACTAACAGCATAAAGTGCTGGCTGCCCAAAGTGTGTGTGGGCTAGTTGTCTGACTGCCATTGTGGTTTCACTTTCAAGGATAACTGAACACACTGGGGTAGCAGTTGCCTAGATCAGTAAATAAATGCTGTGAATGTACCACCTGCATGAATCAGTGCCACAGTCTTCCCCCACTGTTCTCACAAGGCTGTCATACCTCCTGATAAACCTTCTTTGTCCTGACAAAAGCTGAACTAGAGGTTTCTAAACTATTTGTCCCCCTTCCCTCCTATTCCAAGTCAGATCTGAAGCAGGCCATTAATCATCAGCATAGAAGTGAGACTTTGTATTCTTCCTGCAAAGGACAGAGTTTTCCTTAGGTCCTTCCAGTCTACAGCTCATAAATCAGAAATGCACTGGTCCTTTCTTTGAGGGAGCTGTTACTTGTTCTGAAAAAAACAAAAACCTACCCCTTGCAAAGTTACCTTCTCAGGGATGGTGTACCTCTTTTTGATAGGTTCATTCCTATTTTTCTCATACCTTAAATACATAGTGGACGTTCCGTCTGTCAGAACACTTGAGAGCAATGAAAGCTACAGTGTCCAGCAGGGTGTTCTGGAGCATGCATGGTCCAAAAACAACTTCTTCAGGGATGTCTTGTGTGGTATGAACAGTAGCCAGTATGTCTGGAAAATGGTGATGCAGAAGCTTGTTGTCACTTGTCCAAAGGAATTTAGGCAAAGAGGTAAGTTCCATTATAAACCTGTAAAAAACACAAGAAATCACATTTGGCACAGAGATGAAGTAGAAGGTGGCATCACTACTTCAAATACAAAGATTTCCAGGATCTGTAGGTGAATTGTAAGAGTCTGCCAGGACATTGTTGGTTACACAGTTTACAGCTTTATTAACATCCAGTTCAGAATGAGAAGGATTACTTTGCACTAAACCAAAGTCTTATGTTCGTAAATAAGTGAATTACTCTTCCTGGAATAGGCAGACAGTCCAAGTGTTCAACCACTGCTCTCTACAGACAGGAGTAAGAAGATTTGGGAAAAGTAAGCAAAATTTTCAGTGAGTAGAACTCAGCATATTCTTAGGCATATTCTCAGATATCCTTCTTATTATTAATAGATTGTAGAAGCGTGAAGAAAGGTAGAGAAAGAGAACAGCAACAAAATAAAGCAAGACTTTTTGAAATACATTTTGAGAAAGCTGTGCTTTTATTGCTTGAGTACAACATCAGTCTAGTTTCTGGTTAAGCTGCTACAAAACCAGGAATAATCTGAGTCCTGAGTCTATCCAACCAGAATGCACAGAATTTGTGGAAATTCCTGAAAAGAATTATTTTCATCCTGCCTCAAAGTATATTTTGTCAGCTATTGTTGAGAAAATCAAATCAGATTATGACTCTTTGCATAGTGATACTCCTAGCACAATGTTAGTAGAGATTTCTGTCTTTAGAGGATAAATTTTTCCAGCCTGAATGTAGAATAATATATTTGTCATTGTAGATGCAACTTCTGCAACATGAGCCACAATGCGAGAACTCAGTATGCAGCAAGGAGAAGACAGGCTTGAGTTATTTGTCATTCTAAGCCTCTCTGGGTTTCTAATAAAGATATTGCCATCTCCAGCTCCCAGCTGGAGGTCATGGAAAACCCCTCATTTACACCATCAAGGGCTGGATCAGGTCCATTAGCCAGAGAAAATTAAAGAGAACAGCAACAAGCCCTGAAGAGGCCTTAGCCTAATAAATACTGAGATAGAAGGGCTGAAGATCTAGTCTAATCTTTCTCACTCTCTGACAGCAGAATTGATTTGTTACTCACTGACTCATGACTTAAATTGAAGTGGTATAAAGTGCTCAGGAGAGTTACACTGATTTAACTAAATCCGTTTCTAAATCAGTGTAGTTAATTCAGTATAATTTATTCCTTGTGGGTAAGGTCTAAGACACTACCCTAAAAATACTAAAATACATGGTCAGACATTCCAAATGTATAAACATCAGAAGGAGGAAGGCCTAAACCAGACAACCAAGGCAAAGAGTGGGATAACACATGCCCTCAAGCATCCCTTAAACTCAATATGACAATAAAGTTTGTTTGTTTCTAAATTACTTGTTAACTTAATACGTGATAAGACAAAAAAATCCCCCAAACCTACATGTGTAAGTGCCAAAGTCTCAAAGTGCCACCCTGGCAGCTGTGGGAGCATGGAATTTGACTCTTGCATGGAAGGGTCACTTTTGTGAAAAGCTGTGAGAAGGATGTACTGTGATTACACAGCAGACGGAACAGTGACCGTCAGCCTTGCTCTAAACGCACTGGGAAGATCCCTGTTTTCCAATCACGTGGCGAATGCACCATCTAGTGTCACATCTCAGCATCACACAGTGTCCCGTGAGCAAGCGAAGCAGGGCATCCCCATCTCTGCTGCTGTCCATGCATTGCACGGTCTCAGGCTCTGAGCACCCCGTCAGGCAGGAATCGTTTCTCTCCGGAGTGGCTCATTCTCTCTGCCACCCTCTGCTCAAACAGCAGCTTGGGTGCCTCCTCAGCTACTGGGTTTGATAGGGTCTGGTCAGAGTTATGTCAGGTAGGGAGAGTCATTTAAATCTACAGTGTTGGCTTTTTGCAGTGTTGGCTGAAGATGTGCTGCCGGTACTCAGAGTGGAGAGTGGGGATCCTCTGCAACATCATTAGAAGAAAAAGGGTGAATCTTTTTCTGCAGTCTTCAAATAGCATGAGAAAGCTCTTCCATCTGCATCCACAAGATTTCAGCCTCTGTCACGAAGCCAAGCTCATCAGCAGAGGGATAACAGTGAACAAACATGACTGTACTGCTTTCAAACTGTGCTGCTACCTCTGCAAAGGGACGTGCTGCATCCTGTGGGTTTTCCAACCTGCCCTCGTTCAGGGGTCTCCATTGCAAAGTGCAGATTCATCCAGGGCAGTACTGGAACAAGTCCTGCCTCCTGCACAGGTGAGGGGTGGTAGGGGGTTCTCTGGTAGCTGCTGCCCTTACCACAGAGAACTGAAATACTGCCACAGGGCACTTGCTGGATTGTCAGAGAGGGTCAGCAGGAGTGTGACTGCATTGTGGCACCTGCCAGTGCAGAAGGCTCTATAATGGTCAATGCATACCTCATACCTTGAAACCACCACCAGAGATCTCAGAGCAGCTGAAATACAGCAGCAGCACCCACAACACTCAAAACAGACAGCAGAAATTAGCTAGGGAAAAAAAAAAGTGTAAATAGGCCAGAATACAAATCTGAAAAATCTGAAATACCCTTCAGTTTGGATGTAAGTTTGAACCTCTACATGTTTTTTTATCTGGTTAAAGCCAAAATTTCAGCCACAATCAAGGTGTTTAGAGGTTTCTTTAATAAAACCTCCCTTAAGTTTTCAGGAACTTCAGACTTGAGTCTGAATGAGAATTCTACACCAAACCATGAACCCAGTACTTGAGTTTAATTATAAAATTTTGTTTCAATGCCAATCTCACACTTTTGCCAACAGTCTTCATAGTCAAAGAAAATTAATTAAGAACTTGGAAATGGACTCATAATGAGAAATGGAGAAGGTATGCTACAATGCCTGCCATTTTAATTTGACAGGCTGAAGTAGGTGAATCACTCACATTCTTCCCAGTGAGTGAAGAGAGAAAATTCCCATAACAGAGAATGACTGTTCCCCATGACTTCACCCAACTGATTACTCGTCTTAATGCCATTGATCTCCACATTTTGACTGCCTTCTTTAATGAGCAATAAATCTGCTGTGCCTCCATTTCTTACAGATTCACTAGCTGTTGTACATATGACTTGACTCACTCTTTTCCTACTACACAGCAGTTTACAGAACTGTACCACAGGCTTCATTGTGAAGGTCAGATCTTCAGCTCTACATCCTGCAGGCAATGATATGCTTGCCCCAAACTGCCAGAGCAGGGAGGGCCATTGCTTCCCAGGATCCCCCCATACAACATGATCTTGCTGTTCCCACTCAGGTTCTGCATGAGCAGCTCCTATCCCTCTGGAATTACCCACAGACATCTCTGAGAGGCTGAAATAAAATGAATATTTATAGTGCTTTAGTAGCACATTAGACTCAGATCACCTGTTATGGGTACTCTCCATATTCTATCTGTCACACATGGGAATTCTTCATATGGATGAGTTTAGGGACTTGCTGTTTAATGGACTCTTCATCCCCCAGCCAGTATCTGATACACATATACCATGTCCCTGAGTGATGGATTTTGCATCTTGATTTCTGAGAAGTGTGACAGATCTGTCAAAGAACAAGGACCCATGGGCAGGCAACTCCCTATGGATTATGCAATTCTGAATGTTCCATCAAAAAGCACATTAAATAGATGATGCTCACAGCAAATGCTCCCAGCCTGCTTGCCTCCAAAGCAGCACACAAATTGCTAGTCAACTTTTGGTTTCCTGAGTGTTCTTCCAAGCTGGAACTCCAAGGATAGCCTTCTCCTAGTCTCTCCCCCTTTCCTAGCACTTATATAGCATCCCATTAACTAATTAGGGCTACAACTTCTACCTTCCTGAAATGTGTTTACATAGCTCCTGTACTTCATGAGAAAAGCATGTTACCAGAGAGGAAAATAAAGGAATTTTCAGATCCCTGGTTTTCTACTGCATGGCCTTCAGATGTCACTGCAAGCCCTCCTAAGAAATGTCTGGAAATTCCCAAATGTGGAAGCACTGAGTTGAGCAAGGACTCCCCTGAATTCTATTTTCAGAGGATTTGACCCGATTCTCCTTGCCACAATGACCACACTGAACTGTGTCATCATTTGGAGCTTCTTAGTGGCCCTAAAGGCACTGGTAGCCCTGCTCAGTACTATGATCAACTATGCAAGTGGGAAGGAAACAAACTAATCACATTTGCAAGAGGGGAACGGTTTCATCCAGAAATTATGTAGCTAGTTCTGCTCTTCACAATCAAAACCACAAGCAGGTAATAAAAAGTATTTGTTCAAAATTCATTTGATTTTCAAAATTGTCAATAACTACTTCACTTTCACCTTTACTTTCCATTTTAACTGTAGATTAATTTGCATATATTTATATCACTTTCAGAGCAATTATCCTAGCTGGGAAAAAAATGGCACAGAAGATACTCTTAAAAAATAATTGAAAGTATTTAATCCTGGAAACCATCACCCCACTGTCTTCCCAACCATTTCTGTGTCTACTCCAGACTTTCTCCAGAGCAGGGGTTAATGTAAACACTACAGCTCTGCATTTCCCATGTCAACAAAACTGAAAGCAAAAAAGAAACAGAAATATTAAACACTGGAGCCATCATTTCCTTCACCTTTTAACTTACTCCTTTCTGCTCCAAAGTGTGATGGCATTTTCCCTGAAGCACATAACCTGTGACGGTGCCACTGCCAAAACTGCCTTTGATTTCATTAGGAGGTCTGTCAGCCTGAGGAATCCGTGATCAGACGTGCAGTGTCATGCACAATAAACTACAGATAATAAAGGAATTGAGCTGATGCAGACAGAGTGGTTCTGTCTGCAGCCTTTATTATTTTCTGCTGTTATAAGGAACTGAGGATTCTTTACACATGAAGGAAATTTCAAGGGAATACAAAATAGAAAAGTGAGAAAGTCTATTCTTGGGTTTTATACAATTGCTTCTCTTCTATACCAGGTTTTCTTCTCCATTTATTTAAGCTGTGAACTGCAAAGCAGAAAAATAAAAACTAAAACTGAAGGAAACT